ACTTGGGTGACAATCTTTTGACCCTTATTAAGTATTCGGACTATCGAGGGATTCCTCTTCACAAGGTGAAAGAAATTTGTGTCCACATTTTAGTGGGTCTAGATTATCTGCATCGCGAGCTCTCTATCATACACACAGACTTGAAGCCGGAAAATATTTTACTTCTATCGATGATTGATCCAGCCAAAGACCCAAGGAAGTCTGGTGCACCTCTCGTTCTTCCATCTAGTAGAACCAAGGTTGTCTCAGAGACTGGGTCTTCAAAGGACATCAAGAGTTCAAATGGTGATCTGACAAAGAACCAGAAGAAGAAAATCCGGAGGAAAGCTAAAAGGGCAGCTCAAAGATGTGCCGGAAGAGAAGTTTCTGATGAAGTCGAGCCGGATAGTGAAGTAGGGACTCTTGAAGATTCTAACCTTGACGAAAAGCCAGATGGAGACTTTATTGAGGATCAAACGGAGTCTAAATCCCATGAAGTACCCAATAAACCTAGTGAAGCCTCATCAGATGGAAACCAAGAAATACAAAGACATAAAAGAGGTAGTCGTTCAACAAGGCAGAAGCTGTTAGCTGAAGTTGACCTCAAGTGCAAATTGGTTGATTTTGGAAATGCATGCTGGACTTATAAACAGTTTACAAGCGATATTCAGACTAGGCAATATAGATGTCCAGAAGTGATCTTGGGCTCCAAGTATTCAACTCCAGCAGATCTTTGGTCCTTTGCTTGCATTTGCTTTGAGATGGCAACGGGAGATGTTCTTTTTGATCCTCATAGTGGTGACAATTATGACAGGGATGAGGTATAATATTTCCCATGAAAGCAAGATTATTGAGCTGCAATATCCTTCTCATCAAACATGCCTAAAGTTCATGTTGTCAAAAATATATTCGGTATGATATGAAATCATAAAAACTATAACTCAAAAGAAAAGGGGAAACCTGTAAATATATTTTTAAAAAACATATGGTTCTAATGTTAGTTTTTCTACTTTTTTTTATATTTTCCAAAGCCTCTACTCTGCCTATATACTTCCATAGTTCCATCACAATTCATGTCTGCAAAAATGGGAGCTGCTTTTATAATTTGTTTTTGTTATGAAAAGTTTGATATTTTAATACTACTAGATGACTAGATGTTACCAAGAATACATTGGAATCCATTTCAAATAGCATTTAGTATTACTCTGTCATTGCTGTTTTACTCTGAGACCTAGGGGCATCATAGATAGTAGCATGTCAATCATGAACATAAATTGGATATTTGTCACTTCATGCAATTCTGTATATGTCGCAGTTTTTGTTTCACCATCTTGTTCTTCTATTTGGTCTACTATTTTTACATGCTTTTGAGTTGATAAAATTACTCTGATTTCTAGAAAAAGTGTTTAGTTAAATAAAGAATGAAATGCCACTATCCTTAAAAGTAGCACAAGACCATTTTGCTCCATTGCATCATTACCAATGTATTAACTGATATTTGTTACATTGCTATCTATTTGTTGATCAATGTCACTCCCCTTGTTCCATAGGATCACTTGGCCTTAATGATGGAGCTGTTGGGGATGATGCCAAGAAAGGTTAGCTTCGAGACTCTGTTCCTTTCTTTTATATTTGGAATCATTACTCTTTCATGGTCAATTTGGAAGAGGGTTGTGGAGGGGAACATTGTATATATCGATAAGTTGACTGTTTCTTAAGACAAATAAATGGTGATTGGGATGCTATATGATCACATATCATGTTATTCCATCACTTTTATAAAATCTCAATTATTTATCTGTATATTTAGATTATTTACTTAGCCATCCAAACCGTCCCTTAGGCTATATTTAGATGGATGCTTTCCATAAAGGAAAACACTTTCCAAAGATAGGGCTATGCCATATATTGTGATGAGCACATTATTTTTCACCAAAAGGCTTTTGGTAGGTTGCTTTGTGCTCAAGGCATGGCATTTTTTTTAACAGACCTATAATTATGTTATGATTAGAAATGAAGACGGTCATTGAGTTTTTACTAATTACTCCCATCATTTTGAATCTATATTTTGAGAGCTCATCAAATTAAAGCAATATTTATTTAGAATGAAAAATAACCCCTTAACTCCTCCAAAACCCTCCAAACATAGCACCGGTGCTTTGCCAAACAAAACTGGCTCAAAGACGGGCAATGAAATTTTCTTTTGAAAGTAGGGTAGGTAAGGTTGCTGATATGGGTTTTTATATACATAGATTGCCTTAGGGGGTCGCTATTCACGGGATCTCTTTAATAGATATGGAGATTTGAGGCACATAAGACGATTGCGATTCTGGCCTATAAACAAAGTGCTCATGGAAAAATACGAGTTCAGTGAGAAAGATGCAAACGAGATGTCAGATTTCCTGGTTGCCATCCTTGATTTTGTGCCCGAAAAAAGACCCACAGCTGCACAGTGTCTTAACCACCCCTGGCTCACCGGAGGCCCATCATCACATCTTGTGCCTTCAGAAGCTACACCTCCAGATGTCTCTAAAAATGGAAACTCTACCAAGGAGAGAGACGAAAGAGAGACCATGGAAGCTAGAGTGGGGAATATGGCCATTGATGGGACTACTTCAAAGTCTGAGTCACGGGGGAAAGCTTCTACTTCTGCTGTTCACGCAACTACGCAACCATAGGAATGTTCTTGTTTTTTACCGATCGGGGTGGATGATTTCTTTCAATTCTTTTTTTGAATTTGGCAGGAAAATTTGTGAACAGTTATCATTGTGTTAGGGTTGTTGTAATGTGTACATTTGAGATTCAAGTGGGTCCTACACAAGTAATAGACTGACACTGTTGTGGAAGATGAGAGAATTGATTCTTTAAAATTTGCAGTGTCCACTTCCATTTCTATTAGCTTTTACTCTATCCCTCTCATAAAAGGGTTTCCTTTTTTTCATCCCAAAAAAAGTTCCACTTTATACTTTTGCAGAAGTTTTTTCTGGTTCATAATTACATATGGTATCTCCTCTACATTTTCAACTCTTCAATTTCATTTTTTTAAAACTATTATGTCTAATGGTGTGTTTGGTTGGGCGTAAAATATTTTCCATGAAAATATTGATTCCATTTTCATGTGTTTGGTAACATTAGTGGAAGGAAAATATTATCCTACCAAACAATGGATTATATGATTGAAAAATAATTTTCCTTAGAAATTATTTTCCTTTGGAAAATATTCTTCAAAGAAAAATATTTTACCCCCAACCTAACACAACCTAAGTGTGAAACCTAGAGGGGATATTATACAGATCAAACACACACAACTCATATTTAGTACTCCCTTCGTCCTAAATTAAATTGCATGTTACTATTCACAGGATTAAATTTTATTCATTTTTTTCTCTATTTTCATTAGCAATTTGATAAAACAAAATAGTCATGTCACTACTAGTTTTGTAGATCTTTTGATGCTGTATTTAAATATGTAATTTTTATTTTTTAATTGTACACTATTTGTCATATAAAATGATTTGAAAATAATTTCATTCAAACATTGTAAACCGAAACGGACAATATAAATCGAGACAGAGAGAGTATATCTTCCTTCACGTGTCATATTTATTGCTATGCAATGCATAAATGCCTAAAAAGTATGAAATGGTGTTGTAATATGAAAAAAAAAGGATGAGCCCCATATCTGAGGGCTCTCTCATCCCCGGCCTGAAGTGTTGTAATATGAGAGCAAGGGGAGAAAGATGGGTAGATTGTTAATTGCATTTCTTTGTTTGTTTTACTTGCTCTAACTGGTCAAGCCCCTATTTGAGCTTGGTGTGGATACCCATCATATATTCATATCCATATCCAAATAGTCACATGGATGTGTCTAAAACTCTAAATGTTTTGTTAGCTAACAATATTGAAAGTCATTTGATCATTCTCGCAATTATTTCTCGGTCTCGATTTAAGAAAAACAATTATTAACACATCGAATTTAATACTCTCTCCTACTCATATTCGTCCTTTTCAATCAAATTTAACATAATTTTGATCATCAATTAAATTTATATAACATCACATATTAAAATAACAAAATATTCTTTGATAAAAAAATATAACAAAATAGTCTTTTTAAAATTTTTAGAATTTAAATTTAATAAAATCATTTTTTAAATATATAATATCTTTTATTTTAAAAAAATCACCCCAAATAGGAGTAAAACATAATCATTATCTCTAAAATAAGAATCACATGTTTTATCCCCATAGTAAAATTTAATATTGTGACAATATGACATTGTATATTAGCGTTCTACAACATTTTTTGGTATTATATGTTGATGTTATTGACATTTTAACTCATATTTTGGAGTTAAAAATATGAAGGTTTAATTTGACTTCTATCTATGTTTCATTTCAATTTTGGTTTTTCTCCCTTTATTGAATTAATGTCAAAATTCGTCAGGTATTCAATGACTACTTTGATCAAACTTAAAAAGATTGTCTTCTCTTAGGTGTCCAAGACCAGATATTAGAGAACATTAACCATCTCTTCTTTGACTGTTCGGTTTGCTAAATCTGGGCTACCTTTCGTACTTGGTAGGGTATTGATGCACACCTAAGTACTTTGGCTAGAACAGTCCGTTGGACGAAAACATACAGAAGGGTTGATCCAGCTAAGAATTAGGCAAGGAAGCTGGCTTTGGTATGTACGGTCTGTTGAGATTTTAAGCACGTAAGACTCTTAAAATATTAAGAACGTGAAAAATAAATAAACTCACTACACAAGAAGAAAATATGAGAGAAAAATTATATCTTCACTATTTCAGAACGATACACAAAAAAAAACTCTCCCCTGTTTACAAGCGCTAAATACCAGACACTTATAAATAGACTTTTCACACCCTACACCTGGATGTATTTTTCTGAGTAACTAAAATCAGTTACTCCCTACACTCACTCACACAATCCTGGTGATATCTTGTGTAGGACCTTTCTCTAAACCCTCCTTCTCTCTCTTAGTGTGTTTTGCCCACCCACATATTGCCTTACTTTTATAACAAAAAAAGCTCCGTATGCTTGCATGGCTTGAGAAGGAGTCAAGAAACCAAAAAATCATCTTTGATTTGATGACATGCACCAAGTCAATCAAATATCCCACTTTTGATCTTCTTTGTCCTCTTTGTGATTTTTTTTCTTTCTTTTTGATTAATTAATCAAATATCCCAACAAACTCCACCTTGATTAATTAATCAAACCATGGTCCGGTTCCACCTCGCTCGTTCCGGAAAGGTCACAGTCTCCACCAACCTGAGAAGCTTCAAACGTCACCCGCTTCTTCCATGCAAATGCTCCGCTTGTTGCACTTGTAATTTTTCCTTCTGATAGCTTCCGTGCCAAATCTTTTCCTACAAGTTTATACAAGCCATTTGACAAAACTCCTTTTGCTACTACCATTGCTCCCCTAGAGATTTTTAACACTCCACCTTGAGCAAAAATTCGGCAGCCTTCTGAATCTAAAGCCCCCAAGGAAATCAAATTTACTTTTAGACCCGGTACATGTTTCACTCTAGTTAATGTTCTCACCACGCCATCAAACATGCGAACTTGCACTGTTCCGACCCCTGCAATTTTGCTCCGTGCACCATTTGCCATCTTCACAGCACCCCCATCACAAGTTTGATAGGTATCAAACTTTTCCTTAACTGAACACGTATGAAACGAACAACCCGAATCTAGTATCCAATCTGATTTATCTAGGCTCTTTGCGGTTGCCAAAAATAAGTCTTCTTCAGTTTCTTGGCTCGAACTTTCTGCAACCGCAGTCACGGGTGTTTTCCCGTCCTTCTTTTCCTTCGTCCTCTTTGGACAATCCCTTTTGAAATGACCCTCTTCATCGCAGTAGTAACACCGAAAGCTTTTACTACTCGATTTGAAGCGTTGGGACACGCCGCCCCTCTCTTTAGACCGTCCTCGTTCCCGACCAGCTCCTTTTGCAACCAAAGCTTGACCATCATTTGATACCCCGTTGCCACCCCGCCGAGTCTCATTCATCAACAACGCAGCAACTACTCCATCAAATTTTAAGGTCTCTTTTCCAAACAAGAGCGTGGTCACGATGTTGTCAAAAGATGAAGGCAATGAAGCCAATAAAAGCAGCGCCTTGTCCTCCTCTTCAATCTTCACGTCAATGGATTCCAACTCTGTTGTAATCTTGTTGAATTCATCCAAGTGCCCATTAAAGTTAGCTTCCTCCGCCATTTGACTTGTACCGGCTCTCCAACTTGTCCCAAATATCCACTGGGTCCGTCAAACCGAGAACCTCCCGAAGAGTATTATTTGCAAGACATAGGCATATTGTACTTGTTGCCATGTCCTTCAAATCCTCCCACTCTTCATCCGGCAATTTTTCTGGTTTGTCGTTCTTCCGGTGTTTGGCCCACTCAGCATCCGTCATTTTTTCTGTCCTCTGAACCTTCACCTTCAGAGCTTTGATTGTCCCTTCCCGAGTAAGAACACTTTTTACTCGTTGTTGCCACAGAGTAAAATCGCCACGTCCATCGAAAGGTTCGACAGAAACATTCGAACTTTTTAGCGATGCCATTTTTCAAGTTCTCGACTTTCTTCTCTTACCGCTTAGAAATCCCTCCGCCCCAAATGTAACTTGGCTCCGATACCAATTGTTGAGATTTTAAGCGCGTAAGACTCTTAAAATATTAAGAACGTGAAAAATAAATAAACTCACTACACAAGAAGAAAATATGAGAGAAAAATTATATCTTCACTATTTCAGAACGATACACAAAAAAAACTCTCCCCTGTTTACAAGCGCTAAATACCAGACACTTATAAATAGACTTTTCACACCCTACACCTGGATGTATTTTTCTGAGTAACTAAAATCAGTTACTCCCTACACTCACTCACACAATCCTGGTGATATCTTGTGTAGGACCTTTCTCTAAACCCTCCTTCTCTCTCTTAGTGTGTTTTGCCCACCCACATATTGCCTTACTTTTATAACAAAAAAAGCTCCGTATGCTTGCATGGCTTGAGAAGGAGTCAAGAAACCAAAAAATCCTCTTTGATTTGATGACATGCACCAAGTCAATCAAATATCCCACTTTTGATCTTCTTTGTCCTCTTTGTGATTTTTTTTTTCTTTTTGATTAATTAATCAAATATCCCAACACGGTCTTCGTGATTTGGAAAGCACGCAACAAGGTGAGCTTTGACCATAAGTCTTTTGATATTATGTCTACTATTTGTAAAATTAAAGGTATGGTTTACACTACTCAAAGTCGTTTGTGGCCTTATGCATGAATTGGTTTATTGTTTGGCATGTGTGCAAAGTTGGTCTCTTGTATTGCTTTTTTACTTAGTGTTGTGGCTCGCATCCCTTGCTTGTTGGGGTAGGCTTTAGCCTTAACCCTTGTGCTCAGGGATGCCCGTTCTACTTGTACGCACATTCATTCTTTTTATTTTATCCAGAGCGTCTACTTCAACACTTGAATTGACGTCGGCTCAGAACTATATCGTCCTTGTCATTCATCACATTCATATAGCAGTTACCTAAGAAACGAATTCCCATAAATAATTACAACATTGTACTCTTGAATCTTCATACTGTGTTTCTTGATTCCAAGCTAAGATTGGGTGGAGCAAAGCCCAGACTATTTTGGGAGGCTTCTAACAATCATAATCCAAACAAATATGCACCTTAATCTAAACCGTGATGATATACGCACATATGAACTCCTACCTTAATCTTCATGATGTGCTTATCAGAGGCTGCTGTTCTGAGAAATGAAAAGCTCCAGATATCAATGTGGAAAAAGCTCAGTCCTACCTTCTTCTGGAATGGGATCTTTTGCTTCAAAAGTGTGTTCTTGATTGTTGTCGCCATGTGTATTTGACGGTTTCCCTTCACACCATTTCATGATAGCTGAGTTGTTGGAATACATTTTAGGAACATGGGATCTCTGAGTTGCCGTGACAGAGTAGGAAGTGTGTATATATATCCAACTCCGCGTGGCTGGCTCTATGAGAAGAGCATCTTAAGTTCTTTGATTCGCGCAGTGCGTACTTCTTCGTCCGTTAGTGCACCCGCAATCATCCGTTGTTTCCTGGCTTGCACTGCCTCCATTCTTTCCTCAACCGTTCCCTGCAGATCCAAAAAACAAGATTACTCAGCAAAAAAATCATTTTTTTAATGTTCAAAAGAAATTGTGTTCAAAATAATTTCAGTCAAATATCGTATCTTGCAACAAGAACCTCTAGGGACGACGTATGGAGTAATGTACCTTCACAATGAATCGTTTGATTGTCACTTTTTTAGTTTGTCCAATGCGATGAACACGCATCACAGCTTGTTCCTCCACTGCAGGATTCCACCATGGATCCTACACACAACATAATATCAACAATTACCGTGATGTACAAAATAAACTGTGAAATTATGAACTGCACAACTTCCAAAGAGATCCTGACAATGTTATAACAAAAAATCATTTAGGGAACGTTTAGAATTCATACATATGTAATGTCGCATTACATCTGGAAAATGACATATTTTTATTTACCAACACAAATGCATTGGACGCTGCTGTAAGGTTTAATCCAACACCACCAGCTTTCAATGACACCAGCAAAACCTACAAAAAAATTGAGCCAAAGAACATAACAGTGTCAAAAATTGTTTCTTCTCCAATAGCTATAGGGCCAGTGAAGCACACGCACCAAAACACTGCGTTCTTCTGAAAATGTTTTAATTACTTTCTCTCGATGTTGTTGGTTCAGTGTCCCATCAAGGCGAAGGAAAGATATACCATTTCTGCAAATATTTCAGGAAAAATATTGAAAACTGAGTAGAACAGAACGAGTGTACTGGGAAAAAATACTTTGAGAGGATGGATAAACAAGTGGAAAGTGTCTGCACCGAGAAAGAGCAATTTGAAGGAGGTCCAAAAAGGCAGTCCACTGGCTAAAAACAATGCTTTTGGAGTTTAGAGTACGAAGTTGCTCTAGTTCATTCAACAAAGCAGTAACCTTAGCTGATTCCACCCAATTTTTTTCAATGTCTATCTGGAAACGGCTATCTGTTGGTGCTGTGATCAGTTCCTGCTTGGAGACGGTCTTTCTATAAACGAGGAAATTTAAAACATAGATGTGTTACAAACTTTCTGTAATAAGTTACTCCTACTTTACGGAGTAGCATGTGTATATACATATGTACATACAAACATAAAATAGTGAGAGATACCTACAAACAGGACAAAAACCAGATGAATGACTTTTCCAACTTGCTAAGAGGCACTCTCGACATAACCGATGGGCACATGGAGTCAACACGGCATCTTCAAAGGCTTCCAGACATATTGGACACTCTCCTTGTTCTCCGTTACGCAAATCCTCCACAACCTCTTGAACATAAGCTCGTGACGGAACATCATGGTTTTCTCCAGCAGCCTTCTGTCCACTCTTAAGAAAATGTTTGGCAAGCTTATTCAGATCCGAGAATTCTTGAGTATCGCCTCGACTAAAAACCAAAATAAGTGTAGGGAAACCATCAGCAAAGGTTTTCATATGAGTTCCAGAGAGGGCATTTAGTTGTCAGGCTGCTACAATGTGGAGTATATACTTGTTTGCCGAGAGAAAGAGAGATGTCATAAACACTGCTGCGTCCCTAAAAAGAGTTTAGCTTGATGCCTTGATCAAATGGAGCTTTTTTCATGCTATTGCCATTTTTTTTGGTGGTAGGGGGGGGGGGATCACATACCAACTACACGATAACCGGAAAAGGTTTTTTTAAAGCACAGTTTTATGATTAGTTGTACCTTACCAGAATTATAAAAGTGTACATTGGTCACTCTTTTAGAACAAAAAAAGTATTAACAATTCTAACGGTCAACATAAACAAAAAATTTTAAAAAAGTTGGGGCAAAATGTAATATAAGCATGTGCCAAGCGATATATAATGTTGATTATCAAACCTCAGCACAAGAAATGGGTGATCACAGCATTGACGGAGCCGTAAAAGCAACTCCAAAATAGAAGCATAATTATGCAGAACCCGCCCCTGATCAACAAACTGATTGAACTTCACCTGAAGGAATTATAGCCAATGATTTTATGTCTATGACATTTTTTTGGCTTTTCTTCTCAAAACAATGAGTACAAAAGCATATTATAAACCATGTACACAACCTTTGATCGTTTAAACAAGGCCTCATAAAAATCCTTTTCTGCTTCTGTAAGCTCACAATATATTACTTGAACATCTGCTGGAGGAAGAACTAAAATTGGCCTGCATCATAATGGTATTTTTCATAAAGAATGTAAATTCTGCATAAGCAATAACTAATCCCAATATACATTGAAATAGAAGCAAAGAAAAAAAATGCTTTGTTACACAACTTATGCCTACCTGCCTTCTCGATCTGTGGTAGACTTTGTTCTTCTGAGCATGATTGATCTAAGAATTGACTGAACGAGTTTCAATCCTCTTTCATCTCCCTCTTCACATGGTTTCTGAACAAGCTCATTCCACCTGAAAATCCAGGTGCATGCTCAAGTTTAAACAAAACTGATTATGGCTCCAAAATAAGGCTTTAAAAACCAAGACATGTTAGCTTCCTGAGTAATGTACCCTTATTTAGTCATTACAGCTTTAGACTTATCATTGTTGTGTACTGAAGCACAGGTAATGTACATACTCATTATGTGGGAAAGAAGGTATAAGTAATATTTATGAAAACATATTGACTCAATTAAAATGTAAAATGCACAGATGACACTGACAATATTAGAGAAGGCATCAGTATACTTTACAAAGAACTGCCACCAACAAGGGCATTAGCAGTACCATTTCTAGTCTTTTGCTGAGCTCTAGCCTACAAATTAAGTAGGGGCCTTTTGGATCATGAGAAAAACAATAAAATATATTAGGATATTTTATTTTGAAAAAGGTGAAATACATACCATAAAAAACATTGCAAAATATTTCCTACAAGATAATGATCGATACAAATCTACAACTGGGACGTATTTCATCCTTTACAATAATCCCGACAAAATTTAAAAATGTTATCTTCTTGCTTTCTTAAATGCAAATTACTTGATCAGATGTGCATAACCAAGTTCCTTTACCATTTCTTGTTTAAGGATTTTGGGCTTGGACTATTAGGTTTTGAACATTTGACTTGTAATTCAAAATTCACTCATACAAATAAGGCCATAAAGGCTATTTTGCAGTAAAATTCAAAAGCATTTTAAGAGATCAAATCTCACTCAAGAATAAGTGTGCTATCATACCATGCCCAACTTTGCCATGGATCAATCCTCAAAAATCTTAGGAGGCTGTAAAGGTCCTCAATTTTATTCTGTCACAAGAAAACCAACAAGATCCTAAGTCCCAAAAAGAGACAAAACAAAACAGAATATGCAATGTAGACTTATCAAAAAGTAGATCACATTAAACTACATCTTTAAATAATTTATATAGAGATCCACAAACCAGCTTACTCGGATTGTAGACTTAAAAAAACTCTCTAAAGCGGATACAACAATGAATAAAGAAATCTCTAAAATTGATAGAGCAATGCACAGAACCAGTGCAGACTACAACCAATCATTGCATATTTTAATCAGTAATGTAAGTGAAATGGTAGTATCATAAAGAAATGGTTTAGTTCAATATTTAAAAAAATAAAGCGAGTCACGTAAGTTCCTTAGAATTTCTTGGCTGTTTTATTTGTGTTCTTTTTACTCATGGGAGGTCAGAAGTGAGAACGAAATAATTTTACTGCTATATTAAATCATAGCTTGCACCATTATGTAGAGTTGCATAACATAAGCACTTAAGTACACCATCGTCATAGCCACATTAGTAGCACAAAGTGTCATGTAGTAAAGCAATGGATCTCCATTTTACGGAGATATCACATCAAACTTGTTCTAAATTCATTATAAGTTAATTAATATATGACAACCAAACATGTCAAATTCGCATGAATTCTCAATATATCATTTACTGCTATGCTGATTTGATGTAAGCAATCTTCTCAGCTTAAAAGTAAGATTAATAATGTGGTGTACATCATGCTCTCTAAAAGTATACCTGTATAGGTGTGCCAGTGAGACACCACCGGCGCTCAGCAATAAGAGCAGATGCAGCAACAGAAATTTGGCTTTTAGAAGATTTTATGGTATGTGCCTCATCAAGCACCACTCTAAACCATCTAATTGAGAAAAGCCCCACGTTCTCTTCAGGCTTCTATAGTAAAAAATGTATATAAAAAGGGAGATGCAGATCAGCTGTCAACATGAAGTACTCAGCATAATCTACAACTTCAGCAAATGTATGCATTTAAACAAAAGAAAACAGATGACTACACATGCCCCCTGCGTGCTATAAAAACAAAGAGGTATCACGTGTGTTGGTTGAGGGAAGAGTATAGTACCTCAGCAGAAAATTCTGAAGACAAAACTCCATATGTTGTTAGTACAACATCATTTTGAGCAATAACTTTAGTATCCTTTGATCTGCTTTGTCCATAATGAAGATAAATACTTAATGTGCCAGGGTGTGCATGCATTTCAATCTCTGCCTATCAAGAATACAGATTCTTAACAAGTACCTTAACTATGCTACTTGAGTCATTCTAAATTACAGAGTATAGAACAAGGTTTTATAAGGCAAAAACTAGCCTCGAGGCGGTGGAGCAAAATGCCTTGAGGCGTAAGTCTCAGGTATCCCTACTGAGGCGTAAGCCTCAGTGACGAAATGCAACCGCCTCACCGCCTCGAGGCAGACCGCCTCGGTCGCCTTTTCAAACCATGGTATAGAGGACCAACTTTTTTTTCAAGATACTTAAAGGAGAAATGATTTACCTTCCACTGGCCTAAAAGTGTCATAGGACATACAATCAGATTGCCACCAGGAGCCAGCTCTGTTTTTTGTTTCAAAAACTTCTTCAGACCAGTAAAGCCGCCTTTCTTTAAAGGAGTTGGAGATTTACCCAATGTATTACTCGTTTCACCATTTTCATGTGAAGACTGGCTCGTTGACTGGCTTCCAGATGCTCCACCTCTTTCAGTGCAACTCAGAAGAAGAGCTATTGTCATTATAGTCTTCCCGAGTCCCATTGAATCTGCCAAAATCTTGATAAAAGAATCATGAAGTCAAAGACTGAAACACAATCCAAATGGCATGACACAATGGACACATAAAGCGAAAGCAACAACATACTCCGCCCCTGGCCATTTGGAGAGTGCTGGGAAATTCTGTTGTTGCATCCCCTGAAAATGCATTCAAGTATATGACTCGATCTCTCCTGACAATAGAATGGTTGTTAAAACACAAAATAAAATTATCTGCTCTTAACAATTTCATAATTGAAGAAAAGAAATACTTGTCTCCGAGGTGATATGCTTCCCAACATGGATGCATAGTTGTTTCTGCATCATCTGCAGTGTGTACCCGCTCAAGTTGAGTCATCCATTGAAGAGCCTGCTTTTGATAAGGACGTAATTCACATTGAAGTGTACTAGGAGGTTCCATTTCCTGGAACATGAGATGAAAATATGTGATCCAATTGAATAACTTAACAAAAGAAACATACTACAATTTCAAAGCAGGTTAATTGCCTGTAATTCAGAGCTGTCAGCAGAACCCACAATACTTTCCAGATCAGTATCTGAAATTGCCTCATCACTCTCAACTTTACCTTCATCCACGAGAAATCTTTTGGGATTGTTAACACGCAATGATGAGTTGAGAATGCCAGAAGTACTCTGCTAGAAAAAATACAAAATGCGGAAAAAAGGAGTTTAGATAGTAACACCTCAAGATCCCCTGAAGCAGATAATCTAGGAAAAGTTATGCTTTCAGTCTGTCACACATAGCTTGAAATTTGATACTCTTTCAACACACACACACAAGAGAGAGAGAGAGAGAGAGAGAGAAATGAGACATGCAAACTTAAAAATAAATTTTCTAAGTTCACCTCTTCGGTCAAGCGGCGCTTCCTCATGTACAGATCACCTGGAGTAAATTCTGCCTAATTACATTTAAAAGAAAAAGAATAAAACAAAATGAAATGTCTTTTACAATGTTGGTGCTGAAATGCACACCTCTGCAAAGAAAGCAGTAGTTCAAAAGAAAACTGTCACCTTCTTAAAAGGAGTAAGTCCTAGCAATCGCAACAATGATGGGAGGGGATAAAATATTGATTCATCATCTGCCGAACTGTTGCTAGCCACCTTGAGAATGGTCTTATGGCTTTTACGGAACATGGAACTGTTGATATATACACTGCATATACCCATTACTTTGTTATTTATATTAATTATACTAAAAACTGTTTGTAAAAAGCTTGATCATCAAAAAATTACCTGACAGACAACACTACTGAGTCCATGATCCCCAATTCCTTAGGAGCAGATTTACAGCATCCCTCAACCATAACTTTATTATCTCTCACGAGTGGCAAGAGACATCGAGACCATTCATTTGGGATTCTCCCAATCTGTTCAAATTATCACACCATAATACACCTTAAATCAAAGTAGACCAAAGTGATACTCGTACATCTTAAAGCTTCTCACAGAAATTTCTTTTTAGTACCTCTCCAAGGGCCTGTGAAGAGAATCGCACGATCTCAGCCACGGGTCGACCTCGGCCAAATTTCCCCAAGGAGGGTGGTTTCAATTTCTTCTCAACCGGAAAAGTAAAATGGACTTCATCTCCTGGTTTTATACTCCTTCCCTTACAAGTTGACATCCCGACAACTTCACCGGTGCCCACAAACCACCACTCATTCCCCATCTCACGCCCATCTTTGTTGCTTGTCTCAACATTTTCACTCGTAGGCTGTGAACCATTGTTAGAATTCGTACCACGCTCAGACTTCTCCCCATCATTACTGCTGCTTTTGCTTGTATTTGAACATTTTCTTGGCCCAGACCTCGAACTAAGATTGGGATCCTCGGATTTTTTCCCAAAATTGAACTTCTTGAAACTCGGGGTGTCAAAAATGATGTTAATTGCTGCCGTTACATCATTGTTCGCCATATGAAGGGCTCGAATTACCTCCATTTCCGTGTACTCATCGCCCACGACAGATCGGACGGTGGATATGAGTGCTTCATCGACTTTGTTACCCATTCAAGCAGGACGATTTTATTAGGAATTGAAAGAATCTTCAGACATATTTGGACTAAAGTTTGAATTTTTAAAGATATTTGGATCTTGTAAGAATATTTTTTAAAATTGAGTCGGGGGTTTGGGAAATTTTGAAACCCTAGAAAGTAGAAAGACGAACTCGCGCAATAAGCTAATTCTTCCCGCCATACAAGCGTCGGTCGAATGGGTTTAACACCGGTCCAAAACTGGAGATATGGTACATCCAGTAATATTCATTTTACACTAAAATAATACGGAGTATTCATTTTCATATAAATATAAATATTTACGGAGTATTTTGAAATAAGTTTGTATTCATTTTCATATATTTGCTAAATACAATTATAATATTTATTTATGAATAACATAGAATTTATTCCGAAACACAGTGATACTCATTTTTAAATAAAGTAATGTTTATTCTCAACTAACTTATCGTTCATTCCACCTTTGCTTGCTAAGGGTATGAAACCAGAATCAATCTGCAATTCTTATTTATCCTCATGTTTGAATCGCTAAACTCCTGGCGTTTCTATATCGACGACCTTCCATATTTGTAACGCCACCACCTTCACCTTCGCCACCATCGCCTTCACCTTTGATGATTTGGGGTTCGCTGCTCCTCGCGACCTTCTTCAATATCTGCTCCTTGCGATATGCGCCTCCTTCGAATTAGCCGATTGTACCTAAAGATGAGTACATCCGACTGTACCATATAATTTGTAGAAATTCTGAGGAGTAAGGAACAAGTAAATGTAAACCACATTAGTGTACCACAATGTCTTAGAGATATATACATACATAATATTTGAAAAAAACATCTAGAAGAGGACAGTGTATAATCATATTCTGGCAATCCAGAATGATAAAGGAGAGAGAGTAAAAACCACTAGAGAAATAGCTGAAGTGTTTGTGCAATATTACACTAAACTGCTGGGCACTAAGAATCTAACACAAGGAATTGATGAGAAGATTATCAGAAGGGGTAAGGTGCTGAATTTAGAACAACAAATGGGGTTGATTAAACCTTTTAACAAACAGGAAGTAAAAGAAGCAGTATTTTCCATTCCAAAAAATAAGAGTCCAGGTCCAGATGGATTTGGAAGTGGATTCTTTTAAGGAAGATGGAAAGAGGTTGAGGAACTGACCACCACAGCAGTTATGGATTTTTTCAGAGAGGGAAGCACCCTGAAGCAAGTGAATACAACTGTGCTGACTGTAATCCCAAAAATATCAGACCCAGTTACCCCTAAAGATTTCAGACCTATTGCATGTTGCAACACCATTTACAAGGTCATTTCTAAGATGATCTGTAGGAGAATGAAAGAAATATTGCCTCGGATCATTGATTGTAATCAGGGGGCATTTGTCCAAGGGAGAGAACTAATACATAATGTACTAATGTGCCAAGAGTTAGCTAAAGGCTACACCAAAAAGAGTATCTCACCAAGATGCATGATGAAATTGGACACCCAGAAAGCTTATGACATGGTTAGCTGGGAGGCCATAAGAGGTATACTGCATAGTTTAAATTTTCCTGAGCAATTCATAAAGTGGGTGATGTTCTGTGTAACTAATCCAATATATACTATCAATATTAATGGGGGTCAGTTTGGATATATAAAAGGGGCAAAAGGGTTAAGACAAGGAGATCCCATATCCCCTCTTCTCTTTGTAATGGTGGTGGAGTACCTGACAAGAAGTTTTCAAATGGTTGTATAGCAAGACAAGTTTAAATTCCACCCTAAGTGTGCTGGATTAAAAATAGTGAATTTATGTTTTGCTGATGACTTAATAGTAGTGAGTAGAGCTGATGAAAAGTCTACTGCATGTATTATGAAAGTTTTGGATAATTTCCAACTGGAAACTGGGCTTAGTATTAATAGAACTAAGTCCCAAATTGTTTTTGGGGAGTGAACCAACAGATCAAGGAGAAGCTTCTGAAACAGACTGGTATGAGATTGGGGGAATTGCCATTCACATACCTTGGAAGCCCTATAACAACAGGAAAACTGAAGAGGAATGAGTGTGATGTCTTAATAAACAAATTGACTAGTAAAATTACTGCTTGGGGGACCAGAAATCTATCATATATGACAAGGGTAAGACTTATCAATTCTGTTCTGATGGGGATTATCTCTTTCTGGACAAGAATATTTGTTATACCCAAGCAGGTCATGAAGGAGGTTGTGGCAGTATGTAGAAACTTCTTATGGGGAGGTACACATAAGAAACTTCGACCTGACCTTAGGTCGCGTGTGTCCGTCCTAACCACTGTGGATTTCGCGGAGGCCTATGATCTCATAGCCAGGGCAGACAGCGACTTGAGTGCTTGCATTGAGTATCTGAAGACAAATAATGTCAGTTCAAGCACTCACCGTCCCATCAGCTCTATCTCAAAAGGAAAAAGGCCCTTCCAGGAATCTAGCAATTCACACTTCTCAAAGAAGGTGAAATCGGTGCAAACGCACTCTGTGGCGTCGGAAAACAAATCAAGAGGGTGGAAACACCCATTGTGCGATACATGTGGGAGACATCATCCAGGCGAGTGTTGGCTTGCCCAAGGATTATGTCTAGGTTGCGGCAAACCTGGACATTTTCGAAGGGATTGCCCCACTAATCCTGGCAAACCATTTCCGACAGCCCCAGTTGTCAGCCAATCAGCATCAGCACGACCTGCGCCAAGTCAACGATCAACGGCGGGATCTAATCCGGCCAAGAACCAGAGTCAGCAACAGGGACGAGCTCATGCTCGTACTTATGCAATGAAGGCACGAGCGGAGGAAAACCCTGACGTCATTCAGGGTATGTTTTCCTTATTTGATTCTGTCATGCATGTGTTGATAGACCATGGATCAACGTTATCTTATATCTGCGTGCCTATGCCTGACAAGGCTGACGTAATGAAAGAAAACTTAGAACAACCTATACTAGTGTCTAACCCGTTAGGACATAGTATGAGGTTAGATCATGTGTATCAATACTGTCCATTGATTGTTGAAGGACATGAGTTCTCTGCCAATCTTGTCGAATTACCGTACAAAGAATTTGACATCATCCTCGGAATGGATTGGCTCACTGAACACCAAGCAATTATCGATTGCCGACGACGAACGATTGAACTAAAGTCTGGAGAGGGAAAGTCTATAGAGGTGAAATAGAATCTAACACCTAGATCCACTGAATTCATCTCGTACATACACGCTAGGCGTCTCATTCGAAAGAAATGTGAAGCTTATCTGTGTAACGTACGTGACACACGAAAAGAAACTCCTGAGTTAAAAGACATACCGACAGTATGTGGTTTTCCTGACATATTTCCTGACGAACTTCATGGTATACCATCTTCCAGAGAAGTAGAATTTTCCATCGATCTTGTTCCTGGAACAGGACCGATATCTGCAACTCCCTATCGCATGGCTCCTGCTGAAATGAAAGAGTTGAAGGCTCAACTACAAGAACTACTCGATAAAGGATTCATACGTCCCAGTGTTTCCCCTTGGGGAGCACCCGTCCTGTTTGTCAAAAAGAAAGACGGCTCGATGAGACTCTGCATCGATTACCGTCAATTGAACAAAGTCACAATCAAAAATCGATATCCTTTACCTCGTATCGATGACTTATTTGATCAGCTTAGAGGATCTACTGTATTCTCTAAGATTGACTTATGGTCAGGATACCATCAAATCTCTGTAAAGAAAGAGGACATCCCAAAGACTGCGTTCCGTACTCGTTATGGTCATTATGAGTTTACGGTAATGCCCTTTGGTTTGACCAATGCTCCAGCAGTATTCATGGATCTCATGAATAGTGTATTCCGACCTTATCTTGATCAATTTATGGTTGTATTCATCGATGATATTCTTGTCTATTCGAAGAATCGAGAAGACCATGCAAAACATTTGGAGATAGTACTCAGCATACTACAGGAACATAAACTATATGCCAAACTGTCAAAGTGTGAATTTTGGCTTAATGAAGTTACGTTTTTGGGACATGTTATTTCTCAAGAAGGTGTTAAGGTAGACCCCAGTAAAATATCTGCCATCATCGAGTGGAAGGTTCCAAGGAATGTTCGTGAAGTGAGAAGCTTTCTTGGATTAGCTGGATACTATCGACGATTCGTTGAAGGCTTTTCCTCGATCGCAACTCCACTTAACAAACTTCTGAGAAAAGATGTGAAATTTGTATGGACCGATGCATGTCAGCAAAGCTTTGAGAAACTAAAGAAATGTCTGACAGAAGCACCTGTGCTGACCCAACCAGTACCAGGTGTAGACTACACAATCTTTAGTGACGCATCTCATAATGGCTTGGGATGTGTACTCATGCAAGACGGAA